CTTGGTAGCTCTGGACAGAACTGTCCAGCAACCCACAGTAACCCACAGTAAATGGGGTATTGGTGCCATGGTCATGCATTCATCCTAAGTCCTCACTCACTCCACACCCCTTTCCACTGGTCATTCACTCACTCCACACCAACTCCACCCAACTTCTGTCAGTTATGAGCCATCTCCACTCCAGCTGCTGTCAGACTTGTACTGCTCTCCTACTGGACCAAACGGACCATTCTCTGAGGAGTCATGTGACTACCTTCAGACTCCTCCCTGACAGCTCATAGTCAGGTACTCCACAGCATGCACACTGTATGGTCCAGCACCTGGACTGTTTCCTTTTCTGGATGTTCTATGTTACCTGTTTGTATGTCCTCCATCTACCCTTCATTTGTCATCTAGGAAGTTTTACTTGAAAATTGCTGGGTCTCCATATGTCAGTTCCAATTCTGGTTACTGTACCTCCATGGTAGTATAAAAGCATGTATCATACTCCATTGTTCCTCAGTACAAATATTGACTTAGTTCCTACTCCCTCTGTCTCCATCTTCTGCCTGTCAGAGTTACCTCCGACTGTCCATCTGTACTCCCCCTCTGAAATATGAGGGCTGAGATCATGCAAGGGGATAGCACACGAGCTAAACCCAATGCCCTCACTTCACTCCACCCTTACCTTGGCAGATTTCATTCCTGCCAACACTCTGCCAGTCAGAGTTCTGCTCTTTCTGTCAGACTTGCTTCTGAACCAGTGTCAGAGTTGGTCAGAGTAGGCCCAGACTTGACAATTGGACAGTGTTGTCAACCCTGGACCTGCATATCTGGGCAGCTGTGGAGCTGACCAGCACTGTCCAATTGCATGCCAGTCCACAGATGTATCCCAGGGCCAAAGTGCCAAGTTTTCAGCATATGACAATACTTCCCTTGTACATGCACCTAATATGCAAGTTTTGGGAGAGTGTGATATTGGCACCAGGTGGTGGGCATTTGAGGTAGAGTCATAAGGATTGCCAGGAGTGTATATCATACAGTTTACCACTTAATCTATCACATACAATCATGCTTTGGCTGAAAGTAGGGAATAAAGGGAGGTGAACACATATGTGAGGTAGAGGGCTTGACCCCCCTACAGCAGTTTGAGCAGCTCACTGCCTCCCAGAGACACACCCCTCATGACACATCAGGAGGTCAGATATGTATATTGATACAGCATTATGCTCATTGTGTGACACAAAGTGGAAGTGAGAATGGTGAAGATACAATTATTCCATGGATGTTGGGCCACATTGTCCTGGCTGTTCCTAATGCCATTGGGCAGGACAGATTAGATTCAAGATCAGTGAGATGTCTGCATGGAATCCATTGGTAGAACTTTATTTTAGGGGATTTTGTGCAAATTGTGATGATTTCCATAACACAATATGTATCATGTAAGTGAAAATATCTGTAAGTGTTACTGATACATTGTATGTAAGTAAGACCAAAACTAAACAATTGCATTGAAGCATTGCTGCCACCTGTTGCCACAAACCATCTTGCTTAAGTCCAGTTCTATTCCACCCCTTGGGATGACCATAGTGTTCCACATTGAATAAAATTTGTTCAAGAATGCTGGAGGTATCCAAAGCAACAATCTCCCCTTTGGACCCCTGATCCAGCCATCATTGAAAAGTTTAACAGGTTCATACTTCACATGCACATCTTCCTCCAGAATTCCATCAAGGAGTTGTTGAGGGTCATGCAATGCATACAAAGAGCATGATGAAAAATGAATTAGGATTAGATTTAAGTTAGCTGAGTAAAGTCAGAGGACATAACAAGTGGAGCCACTCACAACTGATGACCTGTGAAGGAACATTTACACCACTTGGGATGGAGGGAACACATATTACCTGCACATCTTCATCAGCACAAGCATCTGCTACCCTGATCTCTGACCCCATGACAATCCTTGTGCCATCAGAGGAGAATCCAACTGAGTTAACCCCTTTAATATGCCCCTCAAGAGGGCCACCAATCTGGACACCTCTCTCAGCATCCCAGATCCTCACAGTCTTGTCATCTGAGCATGAGACAATCCTCTTGCCATCAGAGGAGAATCCAACTGAGTTGACCCCATCAGTATGCCCCTCAAGAGGGCCACCAATCTGGACACCTCTCTCAGTATCCCAGATCCTCACAGTCTTGTCAATTGAGCCTGAGGCAATCCTCTTGCCATCAGAGGAGAATCCAACTAAGTTGACCCTATCAGTATGCCCATCAAGAGGGCCACCAATCTGGACACCTTTCTCAGCATCCCAGATCCTCACAGTCTTGTCATCTGAGCCTGAGACAACCCTCTTGCCATCAGAGGAAAATGCAACTGAAAAGTCTGAGCTAGTGTGTCCCTGCAATGCAACTTGGGCAGCTGGCCATTCCTTTTGCCCTCCTACTGAAACACCAACGAGCTGTGAAAATTTTGGCATGAGCATTCTAGAAAGCTTTGTGTCTGATGGTGTAAAAGGCAATGCAGAGATATAAAGGTGTGGGGTGCTGTGGGAGATCACACTCCCAAAGTTCTGCATAAATTTGATCCCATCTTGTGCTAGCATCAAGGTATCCTCAACATCCTCCTTGTCCTTGCATATCATATTAGATAACATCATGCACAACACTGCTTCACCCACCTGTAGCCATGAAATAGTAGAGGCAAGGGCACTCATAGCATGTCCAAGTCCATCAAGCAGGCACAATACCTCAAGCCAGAATAGCAGCTTCTCACATCCAACAGAAGTCTTTACTAGCATTGCAAGTCTTGAATCATAGTCAGCTCTCTGCAGATGGTGGGCCCAGTATTGACATGAGTAGGATAGTTGGGGTGGGATATTTTTGCTGACTCTCTCCTCCAGATCAGTAACTTCCAAGTTGCAGGAGTAGGAACTTTCCAATCCACAGATGTTGAATTTCAGGTCATTGCAAAGGGTGCACAATGAAGCATAGGCAAGGCTACTGTCCATACCAGTCCTAGATGCTTCAACAAAATATACCTGGCTCTGTCCATGACCAGTGAGGAAGTCATAGAATGATGCATGGAGAGGTCAGACAGCAGAACTTCTGTCTGATATCCCACTCAGCAGTGGCGCCATGAAATCAAGAATGATAATTATGTCAAAGCAGTCTTCCTCTGAGAGGAAGTGGCTCTGTATTTTGTTCAAAGTGTCCAGTTGCTGAGGTTCAGTCATTGACATGATCTGTTGCATCACAGAGTGAAATTGGGCAAGTGCTGTCTCATCCTCTGGCACAGTGTCTTCAAGAATTGTTTTGTACATGGCATCCAGCAAGGTTCCCCCTCCCCCAGAATGAGAGAACATGACATCATTGTAGTGCTCCATGACCATTCGACCTGGCTTGTTTGGTTTGATAAATCTGCAGGCTAGGCGAGCCCACTTGAATAGGCCATCTGACTTCTGAGCAATAGTCTGGACTTCCGAGACTCCAATCTGTGGAAGACATTGAAGCTTGGTGGAAACATATAATTGGATGTCACACTCTGCAGATACTCCAGACATGGTGTCCAATGAGACAGCTTTAACATGCACAGTGGTACTCAGGACATGTTTGATGTCTGGTAGTGGCCTGGACATCAGAAGGATGTGGAAATTGGAAGGCAGATGAGCAGCTTCCAGTGATGTGAGAACAGATAGGATGGGTTCTCTTGATGTGTGTTGCCCACTTTCATCCAAGGCATTGATCACCATGACCACATTCCTGACAATTTCCCCAGTGATCCTACACAGCAGTTCTAAAATGAGTTTCTGCCACTGTTGCATCACATCAGCTGTAGTCTTGAGGGAGTAGTCCCTCAGTATGACATCTGCCAATGCTCGCCTAAAAGATTGATCACGATCACCCAGATCTCAAGCAATCAACGTCAGAATCTTCTCCTTGCAGTGTTCTGTCTGCCTGTCATGAGCAAAACAAAAGCAAGAACCAAGCCCTCCCATGTCTTTCATCCAAGATGCAATTGTATGGGTGATGGCCAATTTTCCCCTTCCTGCCTGCCCATGAAGACAATAAATGCAAGGAGCATTGACATTGGGATCATTAATCCAGTTGATGATCCCTGTAAAGTCTCCTTACTTGTACTATCAAGGCATTTTTTCATTGTGTTCAGCCCCATGCCACCTGCATAAGCCATACCATTGAGACTCAAGTCTTCAAGTATGTGGTATGTGTTAACTTGAATGTCCTGGATAGTGCGGTCACAGTACTGTTGCATCAAGCCATCTAGGGTTCTGATGTAGCCATCCATGACAGTCTGCATCTCAGAGAAAATGTTCTTCACAGCTCTTTTCCCTGAATGCATGTTATGTCAGGACATGGAAACCGAGATGAGGATGTGACCTACAGAAGCTTTTCATCACAGAATAATTGTTAATGAACTGCACAGAGTCGCTTATCACTCATGCAATCTTTGCAAGGGTATCTTTCATTTCATTGATTTTATTTATGCTATCTTTTTCTGTAAGGAATTTGTAGACACATCGCACCATGTCGAGAAGGCCAGATACCATGCTGTCTAGGTTTGCTTGATTTATGAGCAACTACAGATGGCTATGTCAGATGCAAAATCCCCCTGGTAAGCACAAACAAACCTGAGTGGCAGATGTTAAGATTCCTAGTGCAATCTGGGCATAGGGGTGGACCTGGCACACACATGAGATCATTGTATGGATGCAAAAAGTGAAATCCTTACATTGGCAAGAGTGGAAATGACTTGATTGAAAACTTTGAAAGGTTTGAGATACGTGTCACTCAAATGTTGAATCTCTGAGAATGTGGTATTGGTGTTACCAACAGCAACAATAGCACCTTGGGTGACATGCAGAATGTAATCAATGCCACTGAAACCTTCCAATGCAGCATTGACATCCTTCCCAGCTGATGTTGGCATGTGTTCAGGTTCAGGTTTAGTGATTGACTTTTCAACCTGTCAGGCAGAATCACTTAACCACCATAGCAGTTGTGCATCACAAAGCACACACATTTTTGGTCGAAACTGTCTGGGATGTCTCCTGTCGGGCTTGAGCCCCACTGCCAGAACTTGTGGCTGCAGCCTGTTGAGTGAATCACTCAGCATCATTGCATTCAATTGGATAAGGCAGATCACATACATCCAGACCTGGATCTGCTTGGGACTGTTCCTGTTCCTTCTGAGCTCCCCCACTGCTGCCTGGACCAGCAATTTCTGCCATGATGGTAGTTGAAGGACCTTGGTTCAATCAATTGAAGAAGTGTTTCATCTTGCTGAGCATACCCAGGGAGGCCATGCCTATTGTTGCAGGTACAGAGGCGAGATCCCCTGCATGAGCCTCAGAGTGTCCTGGGGACTTTTTTTTTTTTTTTTTTTTTGCATTTTGATAAAATACATTTCTCAGAAGAAGCGATAGCTATGTACTGAAGCAAGGCTGGAGGTCGAGTTGGATGGTTTCACAAATCCCAAGAGATGACATTTCTTTGACTGTGTTCTAGCCATCAAGAAATGGATATTAGTGTAATTTCGTGAGTTTGAGCTGTGGTTTGAGGTTGAGGGTGTAGTTGAGGTGGTGGTAATGGTCAGTTCGAAATTAGGTGCCATCAACAAGTTGAAGTGGGTGCATGGACTGACTGCCAGATTTAGAGTGCATTGCCCCTGTGTTTCTGCTGGTCTATGAATATGATATGAATATGATCCCTTGCTCCGAATGATATTGATCCCATGCCAACCAGACCAGGTGCCTTCATCGATGATTTCTTCAGCACTTGCCTCTCTACCATCCCCAGCACCAAACTCGACCCATTCACCAGGTCCATCACCACCCCACCATCTTCACTCCCAACAGGCAGCCTGCCAGATTGCAAATCATGATCCTGATGATTGATACCAGTGGTGGTTACCAGCAGATCACCATGATGGACATTGCACTGCAACTCACCATGGTTTCAGAAGCAGATAGTATGACTTGGTAGCAAGTGCAGTGGGGGCAGATAACTATGGAGAATCAGATTTCGTTATCGAGCTGAATGCTTCGAACAGGTACATATGGGTATGGTGCCTTTTGGTGAGATGTTTACATGATGGCTTGAGGCCTAAAATGGGGATGGCAACCTTCCTTGGACATGTCATGCTGACTCTTGGACAGATGTCATTGTACAGAAACAACATGTTGTAGCATTACCCATTTGAAGAACTATGACACACTATCTACATCCCATGCCAAGATCCATGGAAGTGCTAGTGTGATGTATTGACACAGGGTCCTACCTGTATGTGCAAGCTAGTGGAATCCTGTTGCAAACTTGATATCCTCATTTTCTCATCAGGCTGCTTGACATTGAGAGGACACAAGAAGCAGAGGTTCTGAAAGAGATGACCATGCTACAGAGCACTTCTAGGGCCCAGAGCTTAAATACCAATGCAGTTGTGTCAGCAAGCTTTGATGTTGGGACTCCAATGTCATCGATTCATCAGTGATACTCACCAATAAGTTTGGATTTGACATCCTAACAGTTTCTGAGTGCAGTGCTCACTCAATAGGAACTCACCTTCACATCCAGGTCATGCAAGAGGTATGAGAGGTATACTGTTGGCATGCTACATCAGGAAAATAACACTTTACTATTTTTGACTTTTTGTGACTAATGTGACTTTTTGGGAAGGAATCTACTATCATTACCCATGTCCTGCAGGCATTGCTGCACTTTTCTTGCTGATTTTGGTTTGTTCAAACCACCTAATTCATAGCTTTCAGTAGATACCACATACATTGAAATTGATGGAGGTTCCAAAGAGATATTGTGATTTTTCTCTCAGACAGTGTGCATCACACCAATGGCTCAATATCTCTGAATTTTCAGACATTTTCTAGTCTTCTTGGCTTAGATATATCATCACTTAGTTGTCTCAATAGATTCTGTTCTCTTTTCATTCTTCAAAATGCTGTATATGGTCAAAAAAAAAAGTACAGATAGTAGGTTCCTTCCCAAAAAGTCACAAATAGTCACAATGGTCACAAAAAAGTCAAAAAAAAGTCACAAAAAGGTCAAAAATAGTAATGTGTTAATTTCCTGATGTAGTCAATCCTGGCTTTGAATATCATCATGGCAATATGAAGACTACATTTTTGAATCATCCTGAAGTCTGCAGAAAGCAGGTTAAAGCAAGTGAGTACCAATCACCTTCACATGTGGAAATCCACCACAGTCATCCCAATCCCCAAGCTCTCCACCTTGGACACTACATACCTTGCAATAGCAACATCCTGTAACCCAATGCCCACTGACTTGGACCCCATGTAGTCCATCCAGTCACAATATATAGGTAGCCTGCATGCCAAAATGCCAACACTTATATAGACCCTGCAATGGGCCTGTCTAAATGGATTAGCCATGACACATGGACATATGGCATAAAATCTGCACATTTATTTTTCACAGCTGCACCACCACACCACCATGCTCATTTGGCTGTGTCATTACTTGTCGTGGTCGTGCAACCACACTACCGCACCCTCTCAACTGCATCATTACCTTCCACAACCATGCCACTGTGCCCATTTGACCCCATCATTACTTTTTGTGGTCACACAACCGCACTACCATGCCCTTTCAGCCACATCATTACCCTCCACAACCACACCACTCGACTGCATGTCACATAATGATACTATGTGTATATTTATATATGCCTACATAACATATCAATCAATCTCTGCACATTAATGATTGAATTTTGCATGAGGTATATAGAAACAACAATGATTGTATTGGCTAGTAAATTTACCAAGTGGTGGGTAACATGAACATGAATGTCTTCATTTTTGATGACAAGGTGGTTTCATATCAATGTTAGTCATTTGACATGTTTGGACAGACGTTATCGCTGGAAATCACAAATCACATTGAATGAATCATTACAAACATCAGTCTACTGTTAGGGACAGATGTATAGTGAGTAGGGAGGGGAGGGGAAATGGTTGGCAAGTTCACAGATCAATATCGGAGACATCATCATCCTTCAGCAACATTGTTTGATCAAATTAAGCAGACCATGGGTTGGGTGGGGTGTTGTCATCACTGTCAGACAGGAGCTCTTTCACCATCACCAGCCCAGAAATAGGCTGCACAGGTTGACAAGGCCAGGTGGGCAGTGCATTTGCATTAACTGCAGATATTGCTCAGTTAGCATGTTGTCATAGAGCTGGGAACACATGACTTACGATCCTTGTGTTTCTTGCAGAAGGACTGCCAATCCATCACCTCAGGGGAGGATAAGATGGTGATTGGGTGAGACCTCTTGCCTACTTGAAGAAAACCCATTAATTCTGTTAGTAAAGATGATAGCACTGGAAATCATTACCTGTCTCAGCCATGGTGTTGATGTTGAGCTCAGTGACAGAGCTTGAGAGTTCAATCACTTCACTTCCATCATTACTCATCACCTCAATGTCTGTTCCCACAATGTCTGACTCAACTTTCCACTTGTTGAAGACAACAAGTGGAACTGGGTTTTGGGTAACTGTTCAAAAAATATGAGTGATCACAACTATCACACTATAGTGATGTACCAAACCACAAGTTACTATCAGCTATACTTGCCTTCTGACATCCCTTGAAATGAGCAAGAACAATACTGTTTGGGTGGATGGCTGTGGAGAGCTCAAGTTTCCCATTATTTGGAACAAGAAGTTGCCAGTCAGGTTGAGTCTGGGAAGCAGTATTAGCCTGCTCACAATGCACATCAAAATGTTCAAAGACTTTGGGGAACCAAGAACAAAGATGGGTGGTGTCATTGTCATGGGACCACAATGTGTCAATTTTGATTGTTTGTTGCAGGTAACATCCATGATCTTCGAGCTGCTGGATGAATATCTTCCTATCTGCAAGCAGTAGGGGTAAGGGGTCTTTCAGCAACTGACCATTAGCCTTGATTTTGATTTGCAATGTAAGAATCTGCACATTGGAATGAAGAAACAGACTTATGTCCAATCCACAAGTTACAATGGCAACGGAACTGACATGAAATTTCTGACTACTTGTGCGCCTCTGAGATGACACCTAGAATAGAATACTTAATCTGAATGATCCAGACATGCCACTGGAAATACTTGCCTTGTGCTTGGTAGAAGAAGTTACCTTCTGGACTAGCTTTGAAGTTTTCATTGCTAGTGCCTCACAATGGGGATCCAATTGAGCAACCTGAGACAAGCTGGTGGGACATTTGTTAGCAAGGCCTTCAAATATTCTCACCACATTTGACAAGCCAGGTACAGCAGGGAGAGGTTGGGTGGCAACTGAGGTACCATCAGTGTTGCAATGCTTGCTTATCCCATGCAGACATTCCAAGCAGTGGGCAGCATTGTCTTTTTGGGGGAAGAATGCTTCACAGTCACAAGTACCATCACCGCCCTGGCAGAGGCCCTCCTTAGCTGGCATTGATACAGGCGAGAACAAATGGGGCATAAAGACAGATGAACAGAGCACTGTGCAATTTATAATTGGTGCCAGCATACTAGATCAAAGTTTAAGACTTAGTAAGTAATATGACAATGTGGATAAAGCCTGGCATCATAGATGTGCCTGGGAATACCAAATTGAGTCTGCTAACAAAATGTCCATGTCTTTGGCTGCACATCAACCAATGCAAATAGATTCAATTGTCAGATATCTGTCTGAGCCCCACTCCACTGGTGTCAACCCAAAACTCTCTGGTGTGATGTCCTGAGCAATTACCTCACAAAGACCACTGAAAAAGATTAGCTTGTCTTCATCACTCCTACATGGATTTTGAAGTGAGGGTATGTGCATGGCTCCATGGTTAATATGTACTTGCTGTTGACATGCAATCACATCAGCCATATCTGTTACTTCATCATCAGCAAGGCCAAGTCCCTCGAGCTCTTCATGATCTTCATGATCTTGGTACATGCCAAACTTGATTTGACCTAACAGGCACATATCCTTGTATATCATGGAATGAGTAGAGTAGTAAACTAATGAAACTGAAATCTTACCTTGGGACTCTTGTTGTTAGCACTTGGGCCACCTATCAGGTGGCAATTCCACTCCTCTCGAAACACTTGACAATCGTGATTGATATTGTCGAGGAAAAGTATATGGAGTAACCAGATATGTGATGCATTGTCAACATCAAGCAAGTGAATACGTTCAAGCCAAGTGATGAATGCATGCCAGCATATGGCAAACTGAGATCTGACTTCGACCCACAAACACTCAATATGACAATTTTGAGTTGATCTAGATTCATGTGTGATTAGCAATGACAAATACAAAAATAATGTAAAATATACTTACATTCCCCAGATAAACAAGCCTTGGTGGTGGCCATTCTTCATAATGATGTAGGTTGTGATGTCAAGGTTCTCACCACTGTGGTCTCCACATATGCAGGAAGGCATACTATATTCTTCAATTGCTTGTTTAAATATGTGAAGGACAGTCGCTGACCAATTATTATTGCTAGCACATATTGCAGTAACCTAAGAATGAATCAATGAATGTTGCGAGTTAGACAACTGATAAATGTACCATGTGGCAAAACCCATTGATGAATCCATGGATAATGATCCCCCACTGAATCAATTTGTGGTGACTGTCCATGTGCCATAATGCATTGGGCCACTTGACATGATACTTGTGCCTGGTCTTCATACAGCGGTCTTGTAAAGCTTGACCAAGGCGATCCACCCTAGAAAGCAACTGGATTACATGGCAACACTGAATGCAAACCCCCTTTACCTCATGAACCTAATGATATAACAAAGTCCAGATTCTGGCTGTCTCTTCTTAAATTCCTTGACAAGATTGTCAAGGTCCACATCACTAATCTCAGTGTACATATGCTCAATGCCACGGCACCTCATGTAAAGGTGCAGAGTATTTTGATGGATTCTGAGAAGGCACACAAGTTCAGTGGAATGAATGTGTCTTGAGTTTGAAACGACCTCCTTGAGAATGTTGATGTTGATGACCTTCCTCGGCCATCCTCATAAACTTGTGTGAACTTCTGCTACTGGCTTTAGCATTTCTATGTTCTCATCAACACTAAGCATGAAGAATGTGTATGTTAGGCTGATAGTGTTGGGAACCATTTTTTTAAGTTTGCTCACCAAGTCCTCATGCTGTCTTGATAGCATGCAATTGCTGCATACAGCTTCCCAACTAGCTCAGTGGCGTCTGAGAGCCACTCAGACAGGTCAGTGCCCACATGGTCTTCTTCAATTGCTGTAAGGAGATGTATCACATTTCCTTCCAGAAAGCTGAGATGACACTCGAGGTGAATTATATTGTTGTCCTCTTGGGTCCACACTTGGAAAGCACACTGATAGATGTCAGAGAGTGAATTGACCATCATGATGAGGTTTTCTGGCCATGGTGTGGTACTTGCAGGCAGCTGAGGGATGGAACTGGGAAGCGATGTCGCCATCAATGGGATGGGTCTTCAAGCTTGAAGCCCAAACCCCAGAATGCGACATAACAGTACATGGGATGTATGAGAACACAAGGCAACAAATAAACAATAACATATATAATTTCCCTTACTGTTCCATCAGCTGTTTCGCCTTAATCATGACTGAATCAGCACTAGTGACAGTCACCTGCCATCCTGAATTTTATTTTGAAAATGGCATGTTCATCTTCCAGGTCAAGAATACACTGTACAAACTCAATCACAACATCTTGGTGAATGAGCCCAAACTCTTCACTGACGTCTTTTCACTTGGCCAATATGCACCAGACAGCCAGGAGGGGAAGGTTGATGGGCAACTGATTATTCTCAGTGGCAAAAATTTGACTGTGCAAACTTTTGACTTGTTCATCAAATTCAAGTTCATGTGGTAAGTCTCTGAGCACTCCCCTGATGGTGACCCTTACTGAATTCACTCATTCTAGTCCCTGTCCTTCCACCAAATATTCCTTGGATGACCTCGAGAACTTGCTGGAATTCGTCTGCCATTTCCAATGCAGTGCCTGTATGCTCAGCTTCATCACCTCTTGTGTCATTGAGAGAGCATACTTCTTCCATCCTTCTGAACTCATTTATCTAAGCATCGAGTACAAGATTCAGGCCATCTTCAAAAGAGGTTTCACTAGGCTTTGCAAAGTCTCACTGACAAAGATTAAGAAGTCTCACTGTGTCCAGATGGGGATGGATACTTATGTTGCATATGTCTATGTCAGGTCCCATTTGGATGAGTACATCTGCACAGTCGCTGCAGAATTTCCCCCCATTGTGCATTCTAGCAGCTGTCAGGATCACAAAGGGTGTGCCAAGGATTGGGCTGCAGTGTGGTGGAATGGTATGGGGCAACTCCTCCTTGATGGAAGGAACCCACAGCATTTGGACAAAGCTGTCAATCACTTCAAAGGATTGCAATTTGGCCAGGTCAGTGTGGATTGTAAGAGGCATATGTTTTCACATATAATGAACCTGAACAAACCACTTGTGCATTCTCATCAATTCATTACTTGCATTAAAGATCACCTTGTCCACAAAATCATACCTACATAGTTGTTGTACATAGAGATGTAGCATCTTACAATGTAACTTCGGTTTGTCACAATGTATAGTGTTTTGAGACCTTGTTTCAAATTTCGGCCATTTTCAAAACTGAGGGCGCAGCTAAATGAACAAAATCACACACATGTAGTGGCTAAATTTTAGAATCTGAACATCTCAATCAATTCAAGTCAGATTGCCAGTATTTTTGCAGATTCAGAACCAGGTAAATTAGATTCAGGTTCTTGTATAAAAATTAGAATAGTTCTACTGCTATATAAGTCTGAAAAAAAAAAAAAAACATAGGCTGATTTTACACATATAACCAAGATTGTGATCCAAGTACTGCATATTTCTTCACAAAAAATTCATATTCTTCGAGCCCTGCATATTACCTAGAGGACAGTACAAAAATTATATGTAATTCTGCAGTGTGCTATTGCAATCTGAAGTACTACACCTTGTACTATCTTATCTGCACTTGGTGGCTGCTTACTAATCACGTGCTACCTCCCCCCCTTCCAATGCCTCCATGCCTCGCATCTCGAGACTTACTTCAAATAAAATCATAGGAGATTATCTTACTATCATAAATGCTGAAATGACAAGTCAGTGGCCAGGTGAGTGGTGCACATGAGCAGTCAGTAACCACCTTTGAGCTGCTGTAGCCATATGGATGACTAGTTGCTGACATAATCATCCTTGTCTGGCCACTGACTTTTCATCTCCATGTTCAGTCAAGTCAAGATTACAGTCATCCTGGGACACACTGCACAAATTGATCACTGGTATTGTTAACTGAGTCAATGTTGCCAACATCAAGCAGGTCATTCCTGAACCATTCTCAGAAAACCTCATATGAGGTCAAGGACCATTCACCCACAGCATCATGAAAGCACATGCATCCAGCTTACCCTTTACACCTGTTTTTGCTGCTCTGGTGGCCATTATCAACACAAAACTTCCTCAAGTGGGAGAACTCGCCTTAACCTGGCTCATAAGCCAGTTTTGACATGTGTTCAAGTGTAACAACAAAGTAAGTCACAATTCTTTCCTGCCTGTTTTGAATCGTTGATGTCATGCTGGACAGACCATTTGTCATTCTTTGACAACTTTCATTGCTCACCTCATCAATCAAGCTGTCACACATGAGATTATTGTGCTTGAAACCCTCATCTTCCTCCTTGAGTGCTGAATGGATGACTTGATTGAGATTGCAGTTGGATTCATGTGTGAGGTTGGCATGTTTCTGGCAGAAAACTCTCTGGAAGCAAATGCACTTGTTTTTGACTATTTCCATGATGTTCTCAATGAGGGGACCATCAGTCATCACATACAATATATAATAGAGGTGCTTATGCAGGTCTGGAAAGACAAGTATAAGGACAACCCAATCATACCAGATGGGTTGGACCTCATAAAGGAAGAGGAGCAAATTATGCACCACATATGCCTTGAAGAGGAGTTGCAGGCACAAGAAGGGCTCAGTGAGTTTCTGTTGTTTGTTACTAGTTTTAGTATTTGAAGCATTCAGGCAGATATTCTCAAGTTCGACCCCAATTACACAGAGAACGAGGAAAAGTACAAAGCAATAAAAGCTGAGATTCTTGGAGAGGGCTCTGAAAATGAATCTGGTCCAGAGGAGTCAAGCAAGGAAGAAGAGCAAGGAACATGACTCTTTCACTCCTGTGTCATAATTTTGACCCTTTGGCAGCCAAAGAATGAGAAGGTATATCAGATCAGATGGGGATGAACTTGGTCAATCTATGACAAATGATATACCTTACTATCATGAACACTCTCAACTATGAAGAAGCAGTCCACAAGCTCTTGAAGATTGTCATGATCATGTGTTCATCCTAAGTCCTCACTCACTCCACACCCCTTTCCACTGGTCATTCACTCACTCCACACCAACTCCACCCAACTTCTGTCAGACTTGTACTGCTCTCCTACCAGACCAAATGGACTGTTCTCTGAGGAGTCATGTGACTACCTTCAGACTCCTCCCTGACAGCTTGCAGTCAGGTACTCCACAGCACATGCACCACATGGTCCAGCACCTGGACTGTTTCCTTTTCTGGATGTTCTATGTTACCTGTTCATATGTCCTCCATCTACCCTTCATTCATCATCTAGGAAGTTTTACTTGAAAATTGCTGGGTCTCCATATGTCAGTTCCAATTCCAGTTACTGTACCTCCATGGTAGTATAAAAGCATGTATCATACTCCATCATTCCTCAGTATGAATATCGACTTAGTTCCTACTCCCTCTGTCTCCATCTTCTGCCTGTCAGAGTTACCTCTGACTGTCTGTCTGTACACCCCCTCTGAAATACAAGGGCTGAGATCATGCAAGGGGGTAGTGCATGAGTTAAACCCAATGCCCTCACTTTGCTCTGCCCTTACCTCAGCAGATTTCGTTCCTGCCAACACTCCACCAGTCAGAGTTCTGCTCTTTCTGTTGGACTTGCTTCTGAACCTCTCCCTGGACCTCATCCAGCATCAGAGTTGGTCAGAGTAGGCCCAGACTTGACAAAGATCCAGTCAAAGGAAGGAGAAGAGGTGAGTATCATTATTTTGATTACTTCAAAATCATACTCATGACCATTGGTTAGATCGAGCTCATCAACATGATTATTGAGTGTTGCTCACAAGAGCGCTCTTACTCCACCTTCTATGGCCTTGTTGGGGAACAATTTAGTCAGCTTAATCACATCTAGATGGAGTGCATTGAACAAGCATTTGACAACTACTACCATACTGTTCACTGATACGAGACATCCTGATGATGTTCCCAATGCTCACCTACCCCATGGAGAGACCAGCAAAGGTCACAGTCAGGGCCCAGCTCAGAGCCTGGATGGCTTGTGCAACTACAGGCCACATGGATGTGATGGGGAATACACTTGGGAACTTGGTCACAACTACATGTGAGACAAGTACCACGAAGACTCATGCTCCCCACCATCTTCTCCTCATTGGTCTCCCTCACTTCATTGATCTCACTCTCCACCTTGTTGATCTCCCTTGATGGAGGAGATGAAGGATGCAGCTTGTCTGGGAGGAGACAGCGAAGTTTTTTTTCAGCAGAGTTGTCAGAGATTTGAATAACTTCTATGATACCATTCATTGATATGTTTGCATTCATGTTACCCACCACTTGGTAAATTTACTAGCCAATACAATCATTGTTGTTTCCATGTACCTCATGCAAAATTCAATCATTGATTGATTGTTATGTTATGTAGGCATATACAAATATACACATAGTATCATTATGCAACATGTGGTCAAGTGGTGTGGTTGCAGAGGGTAATGACATGGCTGAGAGGGCACAGTGGTGTGGTTGCAGAAGGTAATGATGTGGTTGAGAGGGCACAGTAGTGCAGTTGTGCGACCATGACAAGTAATGATGCAGCTGAATGAGTGCAGTGGTGTGGCAGTGTGGCTGTGAAAAATAAATGTGCATATTTTACACCATATGGACAGGCCTGAGGGCCTATAGTGAGAGCAACATATGTACAGGCCCATAAGCACAATTCCACAACATATGGGAGGGCCTGTGGAGGGTAAAGATGCTGCAACAGATAGATGGGCCCATGACCAAGTAAGTATGCTGAGCTACTGTAAGACATGGATGGACCCATCCATGGTAGGGTGTGCCCCAGTCACAATATCAGGATGGGCCCACCTATTGTATCATGAAGAAGGTTGCAACATTTGGATGGGCCCACCCATCATATATAGATTACAGAGTTGGCAACATATGGAAGGGCCCATCTTTGGGATAATATACCCTGTCACAACATAAAGATGGGCCCATCAGTAATATCATTTACAGTGTCACAACACATAGACAGGCCCATCAGTAATATCATTTATAGTGTCACAACATATGGATGGGCCCTTCCATAATATCATTTATACCATCACAACACATGGGTGGGCCCATCCATAGTAAGATGTACCTGTCACAACATAAAGACAGGCCCTTCAATATATATCATTTACAGGCTCTCATGACTCTTCCAGCAACATTCTTTGCAGAATAGGGGCTGATGCAAGCAATCCAGACATCTGTATACCCCATCATTGCCACACCAGGTGCAGTTCCTTGGCTCTGGGGAGGCTTCCAGCTCCAGGAGTATCTTCAAGAACTCCCCCTTCCATGGAACCCATTCATGGATGTAATTGTTCTGTGTCTGACACACCATGTGAAGTCTGCTTTTGGGTTGGCAAACTGCTGCATACCTCTTTCCACAGTAACATCAGTTGCTAGACCAGTGAGCTCATGCTTTCATGTCTGTTGAAGGCTGAATCTGCCCATGCATCAAAGTACTTTTGGGAGCAAGACCTTGAATGCTTGGATGATGAGGATCAGGGAGAATGGACAGGGGTTGTTGGATCTGGCTGTTTGATCACAACTTCTACCAATCATGATCTATATCTACCTCCAGTTCTCCAAGTCTTGACTTCCAGATGCCTCACCTGATGGCCCAGGGTAGGACCAATCATTCTCATACCCTTTTGAGTGCTTCCCTTGGCCATCTGGAGGTTGCTGATTTCACAGTATGAGGTCAGTTGTTAGAAATGCTACTGCTAGTGCAAGTTGCTTTATCATTTAGCTCTATTGATGTTGGTACCTTAACACATGTCAGGGCATAAATACAAATGCAACTACACTGGCCTTGCACAATGCATGGTGCTGCCTTCTTATTACTGCTCAATCCCTGCCTGCACATTCCCTTCCTGCTGCAACATTACCTGGGTGCTTTGCCTGGATTATGATGGTGAATTTGGATGCTATATTAGCTGATGAAGGTGAAATGAGATGTTTGGTATCAATATAAGTATGGATATGATTGGGCAAGCCAACTGACAGCCTGGATGCAAACCAGGAGCTAATCTGCCTTTGGGCAGGATCCTGTCAAAGAGATCAGCCTGATTGGATATTTCAGCCACTTCACAGAGGTCCAAATGAATTCCTTGGCATGACTGCACTAGTACTGAAATGCATTGACACCAAACAAGGGCACAAAAAAACTTGGTAGCCAACCATCTATTATACACCATTATACATCATACCACATCATACTCCATGGAGTCCCAGTATGAATCAGATGCCTGGGATCAGATGGAAAGAGATGATGCTGATGGTGAGTGAGACATAGAACCATCAGATGTGGGGGAAAGGGAGGAAGAAATGTTTGAAGTGGAAGAGTTGGAGATCCTTGGGAACTGATGCCAGGAATGGAGGCAAGCATGGAAGAAGAAGAAGCCTGCAGTTCTGCTATTCATATGGGAGGAGATGCAGCAATTGGACAGGAACAAGGAGTTGAGAGGGAGCAAAGTCCAGACCAAGTGCAAGGTATGCTCTAAAAGTTCTGATTCAGATGCTCACAATTCAAAGCACCCTTGTAGCTAATACAAGATTGGTTGAAAAAGCCCCTCTGTTCAAAGAAGTCCTGCATTACCCTTAGATCCAGTTACAAATACTCTGTGTGGGCAGTGGTCCACAAACTGTACCAAGAGCAAATACAAGAGAAGCTTGCAAAGATGAAAGTAGAAGAAGGCAATACCCATGGAAGCAAGCAGATCCAACAGTATCAGAATGCATTGATGGCTTTTATTCAGGACAACCTGATGGAGGAACAATTGGCTGCAGCTGAAGATATAGTGGAAAGGAGGAATGGGTGGGAAGGCCCCACACCAGAGACAAAAGCAAGGTGTGATTGTATGAGGTCAACTTCCCAGTCTTCAATTTATCCTGGTTCCCAGGAATGCAGCCAAGTATGGGTACAAGTATGTCCAAAACTTTGTGATGGAGATGTGGAGGTATTGCATAATGTGCATAATGTGTATGGCTGGGTGGAAAAATGAGGAGGGAACTATACAGGCATGCATGTGAGTCCACCATATTCTCCTCTAGGCCTAGGTAAGACTTGTGCAATGACAGTATGGACTTCAATAATGAAATCATGGATGGAATCCCCTTCAATGATGTCTGCACACTGGAAGGAAGCTGGTGAGAGTACCTTGGGGAAACATTTGAGGAATGAGGAACACCACCCAAGCATGATGGTGAGTCAAGTCCTGAACATGCTCAGAAAAAGACAGCAGCCAAAGCAATGAGGACTGGCAAGGTTGACTCCATGAAATTGGTGAAAAATGCTGATGGAGAGATTTGGATAGGAGAAATCATGGGCCTTAGCCAGGACCAACTACAAAAAATGGTTTGTGGATTTGTGACTGCTCACTACTGTGAGTGGCCAGAGTATTTAGTGTCCTCAATCTCTGATGAGTGCTATCAGGATTAGCATGTGAAAATTCCTTGTCAGCAGTGCTGTTCAAGAATTTTGGTCATCATCAAGCAGAAATGATAGCAGCCCACCATCTTCCTGAAGGATTTACCTTTGACTGTGACCCAAGTCACATGTGGACAACAACAACTACCCAGCTGCTGTCCTTTTGGTGCAAGCAACACGAATCCCATCCAAATGATGTGTTTGGATTTCAGAAATGGATCAATCAATCTGGCAAGCTGCAGCCACTGGTGGATAGAACTTTGGCACCCCTCCAGGTTGTGAGGCAGTGGAAATACCAAAAGACACCTGCCCCCAAATGCAAAAAGAATCCTGGAAGGAAAAGTGTTAAGGGCAAGGGTAAAGTGCAGGAAGAGGGAGTGGCAGATGATAGTGTGGATGATAGTGCAGATGACAGTGTGGATGACAGTGTGGATGACAGTTTGGATGATCACAGCAAGGCTGAGGCAAGTGATGTTGGAACAGATGGTCCCTCCACTAGAAAGGTGTGCCATGTGTGATTTTCATGCATGACAGATCAGCACTAATGCAATTCTGGTCTTCAGGTATCTGGCAGGAGGCAAAACTGTGCCAAGACACCATTACCTTCTCATTCCCACTCAAATCCCCCACCAGCTGATGGTTCCCATAGTGAGTGGCTCTCTGCACCTCCAGCCCATGCAAAGACCCCAGTGCATCATCCATGAAATAAAGTGCTAACTGACTATAATGGGCAGGAAAGCAACAGCCATGATTCTGATGATGAAGCTGATGAAGACACTTATTTGCCCACCCTATCCAATTCAAAGAAAATGGCAACATCCCTGAATAGTGAGCTTCCTGCTGTAACTTGTATTTGCAGCAAACCCTGATCTGCACTCAGGGAATGAGTACACAACTGAACTACAGGACCACTCAGAATATGCAGATGAAGATGGATTGGAGAGCATTCCTTTCACTGACCACCCAACTGAGGAGGGGTCAACAAGCAGAAAAATAGGTGAAAAGCTGAAATCTGCCCTGAAGTGCACACACCAGGCAAGTTTGGTCATGTTGAATCAGCTGTTATGGCTAACAAGTTTGTGCTGTATATTAAGCAGGCTCTGTCAGAATTGAGTGAGCCAGACATGAATTGACATTGACCTGGGGCCAAATACTCATCCAAGTCCAACCATAATGGATCTGTGACTGCCAATGCAGCATCCATGAATGTGAAACAGGGCATCCCTGGGAGCACCTGGAAGTCACCTTGTGTCAGAAAGGCCCCTGCAAGGCCAGATGTGTATGTTCCATCTCCTGATGCAAAGAGATCACACAAGCAAACAGGCAGCAATCAGAAGCAGAAGTAGTTGTTGAATCCCTCAAACAGTCAGAGTGGAAACCTTTTTTGGAACTCATGTATGGTCTATAGAGGGCTTAGCCTAGTGTGACACATTAGAATACAAGTGTATGGCATGTATGGTAGCTCATGACACCATGGTGGTTGTGAGAGGTGTCTATGATATCAGAGAGAGGGATAGTTAAGCAGGACAGTTGAGCAGGACAATTGAGCAGAGAGCTGAGTGGGATAGGTCTATGTATTGGCCATGTGGATGCAACTGGTAGCTATCTATGTAGGGAGATATTGCTGCTCATCTCCCATGTATTGCTGTTACCCAAAATTTGGCTCTGTCTGCCATTGTCCAACCTTGCTTCCCATGGTGTGAATGATATTCTTGCCATTGTTCCTACAAGTTTAAATCTTGATTGATCATTGACCTATCAGTGAACCCATCATTGTCAAATATGTCCACCAAACAGTCCTGCCAAGTTCATTTCCATCATCAAGGTGAGGTTGTTTTCATTGTTGGGTCCAGTGACCTAAGCCATCCACAGCTAATGTAAGACCAATCAAGCCAAGGCAATCTAGCTGCTGCATGAAGCAGTCCAAAAATCCAGAGGAGACACTAGTACAACTGCATGAGTTGCAAGAGCCAACCCCTCCACCAATTGTCTCAAGTGGAAGGGCAGATATGGCAGGGTTGAACATGGATATCATGGCTGGTGAGTGAACACAATTTCTCTCCAAGCTAAACAACAAATGTTCTTTCACTATAGATTCATGCAAAAGCTTGCTGGATCAGTTCCTGTAGGAAAGGGAGCCAACTGCTCTGGCAGAGGGTGGAATCATGGCCAGTGAGTTGGCACAATTGCCCTTCAAGCTAATGAACAAACTAATTTTCTAGTAATAGATCCACATGACAACTTGATGAATCAGTTCCTGAATGAATGGGAACCAACTGCTCCCCCAGCAGATGGTATGAGCATGGATCTACTTGAGCAATTGCTGAATGTGTGGGAACCATCAGCACTGCCAGTCATGCATGAGAAATTAAACAGGATGGATGGGTCTTCAACACCTGCACATGACATTACTATGCAGGTCAATTTTCTGGCAGACTTGCAGAATGTGCAAGAACCATCTCCTCTGCCCATCACCCACAAATCATCAAATATGAGGGACCGATCTCCTTGACCTGATTCTCCAACTAACCTGCTTGCTCAATTGCAGGATATGAGGGAACCAACACCTCCCCCACTCATTTCAAATGTACCTGTTGAATCTTTTGACTTGGCAGTGGATGAGGACAATGGCACAAACCATTTGAATTTTGGCATGCCCAGACAATCAGAGATGAGGGATCTTTTTGAAGAAATATGGAATGGTGAGCATTTATTTGGTTCTATTCATGTGATCAGTGATATCCATCAATTATGTAGGTGAACTTCCATCTGCACAGCAATCTCTTCAAATGGAACGATGGGGATTGGCACCTGTTCTGCATTGCAATCAAGGTATGGGCATGAGCTTAATCTGATACACCTTTTGTTGGAACATAAAGTGCCCCTGTGGTACTTGACCACTGTGTGATGTTTTGGCTGCTTATATAAGCTGAAATAGCACACATACTTGTAGTATTTTCTACTAGTATTCCCTCAGTAGTTTGTTCACTACTGAGGGTAAGTCCATTCATGTTACAAGTATTCTACTATACTGACATCCTGTAGTAGCCTACAAGTATATCTAATATATCAGTAGTTTGTTCACTACTGAGGTAGCCTACAGATATTTCTACACCTTTGACATTGATAATTTTAGTCCTGCATGCCTTATATGCTGCAGTATCTCACTATCACAGAAACACCACTCCCAGTGACATGCTGTTTGATCCCACCCTCAATAGGCATCTTGTGCAGGCTGTGAATGCCATTGTGAGAGAGTTGGGCACAGCTGCAAGGGACCAGTATGGTGCAGCCTCTCAGGGCCTTTGACTCATCAATATGCCCGATTTGATGGAAGTCATTCATTATCTGTGTTCCACCTTTGAAAATTGTCCCAAGCCATTCATTGCCAGCCAATCACACCCATCTTGCCAGTCTGTGGTAGAGAAGGGTATCCTCTACTTGGTATGCTGGACTGAGGTGGCCTCTGTACATCTGAAGCAGACTGCCAATATCACAGGATGGCCCACACATTGGTTTGCAAACCTAGCAATGGACTTGGTAGGTTTTACATCAATTTTTCACCATGTGGGACTGATACATAATTCCTTCAGAATCAGCTTAATAGCTTGATTCTGGTGATGGTGTTGCATGCCAGTTATACTCCTCCCCTCCCAGCATGCTACCATGTGTACCTCAGACACCAAGATGATGAGGTTAGCTTCCACAATCAAATGCAGCTAATTCCCCTTAGTGCATTTTGCATAATCAACAATATTGGTGCCATTGTCCTGCATTGGACCCCACATGCAGCTGATCCCAATTCTGGCTTTTCATTCCCTTGGTGGCTATATCATTCCAAGGAATATGCAGTGGATTCCCAAAGATTGCAAGGCAAGGGATTGTTTTCTGTGGCCTGGGATTTTTGTAAGGTATGCCACTTATTCTTGTCACTGCAAATAGTTGATGATGGCCCAGGGCCTATGGCCATTGCCTGAGGAACCAATCACAGACCGTCTCGATGGCCATATCAAGGAGCAGGTAAACTACTGCATTGAAAATATTCAGAAATATGCTGATATTGTCAAAGGTTGGGGTTGACAAATTGACCATTTCTACACTAGGTGGTGGGCATTGTGCAGGTTGTCGGGCATGCCACTTTGATAGTTTACATGTTTTTGACTGTGGAGTTGGTTGTATATACATTGCTGTGAATGTCAATCATTTATGAGATACTGCCCATTCACATGATATCTGAACCCCTGCCCATCCATGCAATGTCTGACAATCCACCCATCTGCATGATGGCCCGATGTCACACACCAAAGGTGTTTGGTGAGGTGGACATGGATGTAGCTGATGAATGGAGGTGAAAACCATAGCCCTCATGCAAAGAAGGACAGCCAGCAATGTTGGCAGTCATCCCTCGCACAAGAACAGGTTGTCAGTGCCAAAGAAAAAGGAGGAGGCAAGTTAAGCGCCAATAAAATTCTTAAGTGCCCGTGTACGGCATTCCAGTTTTCGACGTATCTCCACCAATTCTGCAGACACTGAAACCATTCCCACACTCGCTTGTAGTGCTCAGCCATGTGATCCTACCTTCCAAGATTGGAAAGGATTTGTGCACTCCACATGTTTCTACAGCACTCCCTCCAAAAGATGCTCGTTTCATTAATTCTTCTGATATGGCTGCCTCCACATCAGTCATTTTGCTTGTCCCCTTTGCTAGGGACCATGGCTACATATATCTACCAGGAGTTCCTACCAGCTTCTGTCCTGAAGCGTCCTGGTACATCCCACCCTCATCTGCCCCCTCTCAGCCCATCCAGCTTGGACAGCATGTTCTTTTTGTCAGTATGACCTCTAGGAGGACGTTCTTTGGTTGCCTCAGGTCTGTCATTCACTTGGAAAGGTCTTATGTGGTTGTTTCAGTTTCTCCAGTCCAAGAAGCATATGGATCCTTCCTCCCTGCCCCTTGCAACATCTTCATACCAGTCTCGTCCATCATTCTTCCAAAATTGCGACAGCTACAGTATAATCTACTGTTCTCCACTCTCCCTGATCGCATCCATGACGAGTATGATGCACATCTTGCCTCCTTGTTGCAAGATACAGCAGAAGACACTCCCCCTTCATCCTCTCTTCCAACAGAGCCTTGTTCATGAAGTTTTTATTTGCTTCACTGAGAGGATGGTTTGGGGGGGAAAGTTGCGATCCCCTATGCTCCTGTCACCCCACAGACCCCCAAAGCTTGACCCCTGTTGACATCTGACTCACCCTGTCCACTTTTGGATGTACTATATTGGCATCAGATCAGCGCTGCCTCTCTGTCATCCCACTTTGGCCTAGAAGCGATCTCTTCAAGATGTGACATGCACAGCCTCCCCCTAATGTGATTCCAGTGCACTTTCTTGGTTCCTGACATTGCTTGACTCATACTTTGACATTCTGACTGTCTTTGACTCACCTATTGCCAATACTTACCAATCTTTTGACTTTGCTTACTGATTCTTCACCTTTTGGCTTACTTATCCTTACCAATGCTTACCAATGCTTTCCAAGATGATTACCCATCACTTACATTCCTTACTCATCAGTTACCAATCACTTACCAGGTGTTTGCACCTTATTTTCCATAGGCAACACCCCTGTACTGTATATAAGTCACTGTACTTAGGTAGCAAAAAAAAAAGACATCAGAGAGCCCCTCTTGCTCACAATTTATCATCTCTCAGTAAATCATTCATCAGCTTCGATAGTTGAGACTTTATTAAGGGTCTAGCTATCATCTACTTCGCTTATCATCATCTATCATCCATATACTTCACTCCAAGCCCTCCCTGAGCTCAGTGCAGCTTAGGACATCAAATTAAGTCACCATCCATCCTTCTGTAGGCTGACAGCAGTCTACCCTATCGCTTTCTATCACATTCTTGCTCCCTCTTCGTCAGGAGCACCCCCAACCCTCAGCACTCATCTTTGAGTGTTGTAGCTCGCAAAAACCCTCCCAAAGAACAGGTTCTACCATCTAGGTACCGCATAGGCACACCACCACTCGCTTTCATTGTCTTTTGTGTTGGTTTTGGTTGGTTTTCACCACTGAACCTCACTTTGACTCACACCACCCAATCTATGATGTCAAAGCACCTGCCCATTTGCAAAATCTTGGCAACACCACCTGTCCAAAGTTTGAGAGCCAGCACATCCTAATAAAATATGAGATCCACATCACCTACTAAATCTTGCATTAAGTTTTGCAGCTTCAAATCAACAGTTCTCCAGTTGCAACTGGTCTAGGTAGTAGGTCATCCATCCATGGTGATTGACACATGGGAATGTGCACTGACTGATGTACATTGGCACACATGTAGTATGCCAGGCATGCTCTGTCACCATCTACAGCTCCCACCCCATGCTCCAATGCTGAACCTGAAAATGCAATGATCATCCCTGGGTTGTAGCACAGCTGCAGATTCAATATTGGAATGACAAAGTCCAAGGGTGGGTAGTCACCCACAGTTACCAGCATGTCATACCATGGATCCTGTCCATTGATATCCCTATGGTAATAAGTTGCCTGATTCACCATCACAGACATGCTGCTATATGTGGAGCTCCATATCAGCAGTATGGAGCCCATATCCAAATCTGCCCACTGTTCTGCCTGTTCACCAAGGCAGATCAATGCTTCCCTGCCATCTGCATACATTTGCAGATGGATGACATGTGGGATTGCAGACAACAGGGCATTGGTGTTGGACATTTGGTTGACCCATTCCCTTGTAGAAGTGTTTTCCATCCTGGATTTGAGCAGCCATGAGGCTTCCAGGAAGCCATTTTGGGGCTTCAAGACAGATGAGTGCTTTATTCACAAGGAAAGAAATGATCACCCACCCCATGACCCTGTTGAAACCATGTGGGTGACAGGTTGATGGTGCCTTTCAACTCAGCATTATCATGGAAATATGACTTATCTGTCTGCCATGCCTGTGGGGAAGCCTTTATGCTCTCCCACAGTGGTTCCCTCAGAAGATGAAGGCAGTTCCATATGTTGGCCTGCCATTGCATTAAGTCAGTAGAATATGAGATTCTGCATTCCCTTACCCTTCTTTTTGGGCTGAGAGCATCTGGAAAATACCAAATGCAGATGGTGTTTGAGTTGGTCACCAGAATGGACAGCTCAGTCACTTCCATGTATCTCTCAGCAGCTTCTGCATTGCAGGATTTTCCACCCTGATTTTTCCCAATGTTGACTGCAGAAAGATGAAAACTTCCATTGCACCATTATGATGGACTTACTTGGGCAATGATAGGCCTTTGAGATGACTGATGATATGTGATCCACTTCACATAACACTGGAAATGGAATTGACATATCTGGAAGGGCATGAGGTCTACTGAATACCTCCTCTTGAAATCTGGCTTTCATGTATGTGTATGACACAATGCAGTCTGTTAGTTCCATTTGCCATCCATGGGGGGTTTTAGATGTGTCTTGCATAGTATTCATGCTTGGGGTGGATGAGGTCGGAGTTGTATAGTGGGTGAGCTGCTTGCAGCTTGTTGGAAAATTATGGCATGTCAGGACACTTGCCTCAATATTTTGCTGTGATCTGATCAATATGTTGTGATGCTATACATGCTATTGGTGTTGGGCCCATCTTATGTTGTGACAGGGGTGGATCTTACTAGATGGACCCATCCTTGTTTTATAGCAATATAAAAGATATTACTGAAGGGCCCATCCATATGTTATGATGATATAAATAATACTGCTGAAGAGCCTGTCCTTATGTTGTGACCACATAAATGATACTGCTGAAGGGCCCTTCCATATGTTATGATGCTATAAATGATATTACTGATGAGCCCATCTTTATGTTGTGACAGGGGTGCATCTTACTAGATGGGCCCATCTATGTGTTGTGACAGGCATACATGTTGCTATTGATGGGCCCATCCATGTGTTGTAACTGTGTAATTGATATTACTGACAGGCCCATCTTATGTTGTGACAGGGGCATATCTTACTAGACAGGCCTGTCCATCTGTTGTGACAATGTAATTGATAATACTGACTGGCCTGTCTTTATGTTGTGACATGGGTGCATCTTACTAGATGGGCCTGTCCATGTGTTGTGACCCTGCCTTTCCACAGGATACAACAGTGGACAGGGGACTTCTACTAGGAATCTGCCCTCCACATGGTGAGGGATCAGTTGGTTGCCCAGAATTACATTCACATCAAGACCCACAGACTGGCATTCAGTTGCACCTAGGACATGGCAGAGCACCCTGTCCCCATGTAATCACACAAGCCCAGCAAGCAGCAGGTGAACCTCTGCCCATGGATGATCAAGAATGGGAAGATGTGGAAGATATTGAAGAAAACCCAAAGCACCTCTGTCCTCCAGTGGGGTCAAGATATCTCACTGTCATGGATGTCACAGGTGTTCATTTCATTGTAGTGAATTGGTGTGAATGTGACACTGCAGAAACCCGATACATACAGTTACTCAGAGCCAAACTATTTCCCTCAATGTTCAAGAAGCCAAGCACTGCATTTACATTCCCAGTTCTGGATGACTTCCTGAGGGACAACCTGGAATGTGCAACATCCAGTATGAACTATTATGGCAAGTTGCATTGGATCACATCCAGTGTGTTTCCACACCTTGTTCCAGTAAGATTTGGTATTTTGGTTCCAAGTGTTGGAATGTCTGAAGGGTCAATCAGGATAGATACCATGAGCTTCTACAGGTTGCATGGAAATGGCAATACCTCAAGCTACTTAAATGGAATGGATTCTGCAGGACAACCAGGTCAGCAGAGAAAGGCAGACTGGCATTATTTTGTGCGGCATGCCCCCAGCCTGTAATAAATGTTGATACCAATGAGGATTTGGACCAGTAAGCAGCTCCAATAATGCAATCCTCATATGCTGACCTTCTCCAGCTGGTGGTTCACCTGCACAGTAGTAATGAACAGAAACTTTAAAGTGGAACACATGCATGAGTGGAAATCCAAAGATCAGGTGTGGTTGATGGACAGACTAGGTTATATGGTGACCAATCCACACTACACAGACTATTTGAAGGCCACTCCACATATTGTGGAGGTATGAATTCATTCAACCCATGCAAAACATGATCTGAGCTCAGGCACAGAAATCCACCCACAACAACCACAGAGCTATCAGTCAGGCAAACACAGCCCAGGGAAAGCTTCATGCGACCAGAATTGGGGCAACTGCATGTGCACAGCATGGATGCTTTTATCCACATTGTGTTGTTGACTTCCAAAAAGGAGAAAGGTATGAGGTTGAATCATTGATTTTGACACCTGCTGATAGCACTGCAGACAGTTGAAAATGGACTACTCTTTGGCAAATGTGTTGGGATACAATATGGAAGGGATCAAACAAGTGGTTTGCTTCTACAACATTAACTGCTCCTACATGACAAATCTGTGGAAGTGTGTGGGTCAAAGTGAGATGATTGATATCCCATCATCACTTTGGATTATCCCTGGAATTGGCATATGGCATGTGCATGGGCACAAGAAGGAATGTTGTGCATGGTATGCCCCGCTGTTCATCAAGGGGGCCAGATGGGCAGATGGAGAAATCATTGAAACATTGTGGTCCATCCTTAACATGGCATCCACATCTGCATGCAGGATGACCTCACCACATCACCAAGAACCACTGGATTTCTAGATGAATGATTCCAACTTCAAGAAGATGATTCAGATTGGTTAGTCTGAGGATCCACTTGCAGCACACTCTCTGACATCCAAGATTAAGTGGATAGCCTATTGTGGAAGCTCAAAGTGGCTTGAGCAGCAGCACCATTGGCAAGGCAGGCATATATAAAGCTAGATGAAGCCTTGACTGCAGAGCAGTGAAACAGCTGGTGAATGCAAGAGATTCATGCACTGCATGATCATGTTGATGACCCATCTGTCATGGACATCTTTGAAGTTCAATTAAGGGTGGGTATGGCATCTGCCTTTTTGGATAAATGCAAAATACTGACATATCATGAGAAGCACCAACAGTGCATGCCATTGAACTAGTGTTATTGGAGGAACCAAGACCCAGTGGAAGCCTACATGGAACAGCTAGTTGGCTAGCATGTGGTTCACACTTAGAAGAGGCCATAACCTCACTTCACATGGACAGAAAGGATGTTGGGGAACAGGCATCAGAATTGAAAAAATTGGCTATGGCATGCCATGCTGATCGCATTGCATCTGAACAATCATGTTTTATCACAGATGCTGCAATTTACTTGAAGCTGCACCTTGAAGTGGGCTCCAACACTTCCACCAGTGAATCTGTACAGCAGACTGCATTTCTTGATACAAATTCAGAGCAGGATTATGCTTCAGATGATGGTTGGCTGGATGATGTGGGGGATGAGTTGCCTGCTTCAGATGGAACCCTGGCAGGACTGCAGGACAAATTGCCACTTCCATCCACTCTTGGCATTGATGCATGTTGAGCTTGAGGGCTTCAAAATCTTGCAGAAATGGAGCTGAAGCTTCACACAGGTTGAGCCAATGATGCACTAC